CTCAGGTTAGTTCCTCATTTATTTGCTAATTTCTTTCGCATCATGAGCTCCTCATCCACTCACGACCCTATAGACCTGGTAGATTCGGATTCCACCCATTCTTCTTCTCCCAATCTCATTAGGATCCCTCCCCCTAGGGTTTCTGACCTCGTTGAAATCACGAACGATTCAGCTGTTCAGATGGATGTCTCCCCTTCACAAGCTGAAGCATCCACTTCAGGGTCAGATTGTGTGTTTACTAAGGGAGAGAAAGAGTTGATTTTGTTTATTCAACGCATCAAGTTCTTTATCGAGTCTGTAGTAAAAGATTATGAGATTCCTGATGGAGTTGACATTGTCGAATACCCAGAAGGGGCTGATTTCAGTTCCAGTGAAGGTGTAGGAGACAATGAATTGGTTCTATCAGTTGGGCATCTCAACGCTCTTCTTTTTCCTCTTCACCTCTTCTATCATCTAGTTTTTAATAATTAGGTTAGGGATTGCCCCTCTCCAAGTGAACCCTAACTTCCTTCGAGTGGTTTCGGCACTTCTAGTTCGACGAAGGTTGGAAAGTATTGACTTGACTCTTGTTGATTTACTCACTACCTACACCATCACCAGGCATGGGACTGAGCCTGGCCGCTTTTATCTTACTTCTCCTCTTCAATGGAGGATATGCACGGACCTCCTTTCCTCTTAGAAGAAGTGGAAGGAGAGGATAATAATCGTGAAAGGAAACTGGTTTGTGGATAAATCGAATTCCCTTCCCATTCCTTGCAAATTTGGGTAGTTAGGTATAGAGTACTTTCCCTTATTTCATGAAAAATGCTTTGGTTGTTTCCTATGTCAAGTTTTATTATTTCACCATACTTATGAATTTCTTGGTCTTCTTTTAGCAACTTTTCCTTCCTCCGTAGCTAAGAAAAGGCTTGCCTTTCTCGAAGCACAAGTTTGGAGCGAGCCTCCTTTAGTTAAGGAGTTACTCACCTCATCCAACCTTTAGGAAATTGCTTCTAGTGCTTCAGCTGTAGACCTCATGGACTTGGCACTTCCATTTTTCGATAGCTTCCCCCTAACTGAGGAGGAAAAAATGAGAGCTAAAACTCTAAAGAAGAAAGCCGCTGAGGAGCAACCTTTGTTGGTCATCAGATCAACTGAGCACGAGAAGGAGGTGGATGAACCCCCTCTCAAAAAGACAAGATCAAACCCTCCTTCCAGCAGTAGGAGCAAGACCATCCCCAAAAGCAAAAGGAAAAAAGCTAGAGAGACTGACCCGGAGGAGGAAGTCCGGGCTTCCTTTCAGGCTGAGTCTGGAGAACCCAGGAGACCTATTTTCTCAAGGGCTGACAAGTCAGTTCTTTATTCTGGGGATTCCATAGTCTCTGACCCCTCTGCTGCCTTGGCAGTTGCTCGAGGGATGTGGCTTCCCAAGGATGAGGAGATCATTGGGAATTTGGGGTTGGACCAGCTACTACTATCTGCCCCAGTTGATGCTGTGAAGGTTTACTCTTTTCCATCTACTTATTTAATTCTTCAGATTTCTTTTCACCACATATCTACTGACATTGTTATTATTAACCATGCAGAGTCTGTACTAGACTATGGCATTGTGTGTCACTGCTGAAGCTCAATCCCTTTCCATTAAGAAATTGGAAAGGGACTTAGGCAATGCTGAGAAGAAGTTTTCACACTGGGCTACGAGTGCGAAGATAGCTTTTGATGCGAGGGATGTTTATAAGAATCGCTTGGCAGCTTCTGAGGTGAATGTGGAGGCTTTGGAGGCTGAAGTCCAGCACTTGAACGATGCCATTGGTACTTGCATTACTGCTGGGAGGCAAATGCAAGGACGCTACTCCACCATCACGTACTTATCTAGTGCAAAGGCTTTCAGGTTCAGCTTAAGCCAGGGCTCTGGTGACAAAGCAAAGGATCCGGAAACCTTCGATGCTGACATAGAAGTGTCATTCCCTTATGCTGAGGGTCCAAAGGCCCAGGAAGCTGAGGTGCTCTTTGCTGAAATGGTGAAGGCTCATCCAGAGGTTCTTCTAGCTTCAAGCTTGCCAGCTCCTCCATCTTCTGACCTGCCGACTCTTCTACCCACCAGTCCGAATGTGGTAGATGCTTTTGACTTTACTCCCTTTGATCCAAAAAGGAAGTAGAATTGTGTAATAGTCTTTTCTTTTCTTTATTTTGAAAGAAAGGCTTATTGCCTGAGAGCTTTGGATCTTTTGTGGTCCGAAGCAAAAACAGGACAGATAATAAAAAGGGAATCCGTTTGACTGTTTAACTAATACCCGAGGAAGGCTTTTTCATCTACCATTCCAACCGTCAAGGGAACACTTCTTGCCACTGATTTGTAAGGAATAGATATATCAATACTTATTTTCCTTGTATTATTTCGATATGGGATGAAATTTTTCACGGGTTATGCACCATTAGCCCATCAAATAAGGATCTGTGGGTGTGTTTCCATAGAGAAAATTTACCCCCGCTTGGTCTTATACCTTACTGGCGCAGCTTTGGATTTAAATCGTTCGAAGTGGCACTTTTTGGCTCAGTTTCGAACTTGAATCGTCCGAGGTGGTATACTATTTGGCTAGGAGCCTGAAAAGAGTTGTATTGCACTGGATTCCTATCGTTCGAAGCAATATGCTCCTTGATCATGAGCTTGAGAGGAGTTGTGCTGCCCCGGAGTCCTGTGGTCCGAGCGTTGTGTTCCTTGGCAATTAATTTGAGAAGAATTATATTGTGTTGGACACTTAGGGTCTGAGGAGTTGTGTTCCTCGGCTATGAACCGGAGAGGAACTGTACTGAGCTGGACTTTTAGGGTCCGAAGCGAAGTGTTCCTCGGCTGTGAGCCCGAGAGAAACTTTACTGAGCTGGACTCTTGGGGTCCGAAGCGAAGTGTTCCTCGGCTGTGAGACCGAGAGGAACTTTACTGAGCTGGACTCTTGGGGTCCGAAACGAAATGTTCCTCGGCTGTGAGCCTGAGAGGAACTTTACTGAGCTGGACTCTTGGGGTCCGAAAGGAAGTGTTTCTCGGCTGTGAGCCCGAGAGGAACTTTACTGAGCTGGACTCTTGGGGTCCGAAAGGAAGTGTTTCTCAGCTGTGAGCCCGAGAGGAACTTTACTGAGCTGGACTCTTGGGGTCCTAAAGGAAGTGTTCCTCGGCTGTGAGCTTGAGAGGAACTTTATTGAGCTAGACTCTTAAGGTCCGAAAGGAAGTGTTCCTTGGCCGTGAGCCCGAGAGGAACTTTATTGAGCTGGACTCTTAGGGTCCGAAGGGAAGTGTTCCTCAGCTGTGAGACTGATCTGGGGAAATCATCAAGTATGCCAGGCTGGCCGAAGATTCAAAAATGATATGAGGCCAAGAAAAAGAGTAACTGTGACTGGGAAGTCCCCTATGTATTTGTTTTGGGAGACTCTCCTTCACAGAGATTCTCTTCGTGGCAACCAAATGCAGCTTGCTAACTCTATATTTACTACATACCTTTTGTACTCCTATTCGATGTGGGACAAAGATATATGAGCCACAAATCTGGTTTGTTTGGAAAGAACAAAAATTATTGCAAAGAATGCCCGTTGGTACCAGGGTTTTGAACACAACTTGGGTTGGGCCGTTACTGTTACCAACGGGCCCTCTTTGCAATGCACCCAAATACTTTAATATTTCCCTATATAAAGGTAGTATAGAAACAGTTTTTTCCCGATGTGAGACTATAGTAGATAAGTGTTCTGAGGTACACATATTTGTGGTTTATGCCAAAAACAAAAAAACTGTAAAGCACCTTTGGGCTCATGATTTAGGTAGAGCCTGAATGTTCATTAAAAAAAGACTTGTAATATCAATAGTAGGGGTACATACTTATACTTTTGTGCTTTTGTATGAAAAAGGGACTTGTAAGTACCACCAAAAAACAAAAATTATTTGTTTTATTTGCTTTGTGTTGATATCCTTCTTTTGTCGTAATATCAACAGTAGGGTGAATGGTATATGCTTTTGTTGCAATATCAATAGTAGGGTGCATGTATTGCCTTCTATTACGACAAAAGAAGTAATACCCCACTCTACTAAAGGAGTAAAGATGTGCAAAGATGTGCATAACGCAAGAAATTTTTATTATATAAGCCTAGAAACAGCCATACTTGGATAAAAAATAGACGTACGTTGTCTGTGAATAGAAAGTAAACAAACTATATCATCTAATGATAGTATTTTTTTCAAGTGTATTGCATTCCATGGACGTGCAATTGGATGCCCATCCGTTTCCGCCAATCGGTAAGCTCCTTTCCCTACTACCTTTGTGACTCTGTAAGGTCCGATCCAATTGGGTTGTAACTTTTTTACATGGGCTGTTTCCTGTTTTAGCACCCAATCTCCTTTCACAAAACGTCTTAACCTAATTCGCTTATTGCAACTGTTGCTGGTACGAAGCGAGCCTAATTGTCGCAACATCCCTCTTTTCTTCCAAGAGATCTAGGTTGTGTTCGAGCTGCTGATCATTGTTACCTTCGAGTACCAAGTGGGTCCGAAGAGTCGGAACTACTGATTCCGTGGGTATGACAGCCTCTGACCCATAGGCCATGGCAAAAGGGCTTTCTCCCGTTGGCCTTCGGGGGGTGGTTCGATACGCCTAAAGTACCTAAGGTAAATTCTCGTACCATTTGGATTTGTGCTTTTCCAACTTTTTCTTCAAGCAGCTAAAGATGGCCCGGTTAATTATTTTTACCTGTCAATTTCCCTGAGGATGGCTAACTGCAGCCAACTTTTGCCTAATCCCATGCTTGGCAAAGAACTTTCTTGTGCTTCGGTTATCTAAATTTGGGCCATTGTCCATCATGATAACATTCGGTACCCCAAATCGGTAGATTATGTTGTTCCATAGAAAACTCTTCGCTTATGCATGGGTCACGCTTGAGTAAGTTTCGGCTTCAACCCATTTAGTGAAGTAATCGGTGGCTAGCAACACGTATTCCTTTTTCTCCACAGTTTTGGGCAAAGGACTGACCATATCAATCCCTCATTGAGCGAATGGCCATGGATTCGCTATCGCGTTCAAATCTTCGGCGGGTTGATGCTTCATTAGACCATGTCGTTGGCACTTATCACACCTTCTGGCATACTTTTCAGCATTCTGAGCCAAGTAAGGCCAGAAATAACCTTGAGTCAGAACTTTGTGTGCCAAAGATCTACCTCCAGAGTGATTGCCACAATCCCCGTCATGAATCTGCTTCAGAATCGTGAGAGCCTCAGTGGGGCTTAAACATTTCAGGTAAGGACCTGAGAATAACTTTCGGTATAATTGATTATTGATGATAGCATATTTGGCTGCGGTGAGCCTGAGTTTCCGCGCCTCGCCCTTCTGGTTTAGGAGAGTCCCCTCCTTAAGGTAAGCTTCCAATGGATCCATCCAGCATGGTTCGCGTGGGACATCTGGGATCACTATTATTTCCTGCCGAGGGCTTATACTTGGTTCGTCTAGGATGTCAATTGGTATGATCCGGACCAAATCTTCATCCGAAGAAGATGCTGCTGCAACCAACTGATCTGCTTCAGAATTCTCCTCGCGAGGTATATGATGGAATTCGATCTGGTCGAACCCTCATAAGGCACTCTCCACTGCTTCCCTGTAGGCTTTCATTCTGTCCTCCTTAGGCTGGTACTGGCCTGTTATCTGATTCACAATAAGTTGAGAATCACTAAAAAATTTTAGACACCTTACCTGAAGCTGGTTTGCTAACCGGAGTCCTGCGAGCAGGGCCTCATATTTTGCCTTATTGTTAGTGGCAGGAAAAGTCAGCCAGATTGATTACTGCAGCTTGGTGCCTTCGGGAGTTGTGATAATGACTCTTGCCCCAGCACTAATCAAGTTCGAGGAACCATCCACCCGAAGCTCCCATTGTGGCTCGGAAGGGCCTAGCTCCTCGGGCTTATCTTCATATTCCAAGAGGAAATTAGCTAGTGCTTGCCCTTTGTGCAACACCTTCGGTTCGTAGGATATGTCAAATGAACTAAGCTCGATTTCCCATTTAGTTATTCTTTCGGATAAATCCGGTTTAGAAAGAATGACTCGCATGGGGTAGTTGGTAAGAACTTTGATGCTGTGCGACTCAAAGTAGTGTCGAAGTTTCCTTTTTGCATATACCAATGCTAGTATGATCTTCTCAGCTTTGCTGTACCGCGTTTCTACATCTGTCATTGTCTTGCTGGTGTAGAAGATTGGGTACTGATTCTTACCTTCTTCTCTGATCAATACTACACTCGTGGCTACGCTGGAGATAGCTAAGTACATGATACGAGTCTCACCAGGCTTCAAACTGACAGAATTGGGGGTTTCGCCATGTAGTATTTTAGTTGATTGAGAGCAGCTTGTTGTTGAGGTCCCCATATGTCTTTGCTCTTGGACCTTATTACATCAAAGAATGGTTTGCACTTATCAAATAATCGAGAGATAAATTGACTGAGAGCTGTAATTCGACCGATCAAAACTTGTACTTCTTTGCGGGTCTTTGGTTCTTGATTTTGTATAAGGGCTTGAGCCTGAGCTGGACTCACCTTAATTCACCTTTTGTTTACAATATGGCTGAGGAACTGTCCTGAAAAAATTGCAATGGAGCACTTCAAAGGATTTAGCTTCATGCCATTTTTTTTTTAAAGTGTCAAAGACTTCTTGGAGGTACCTAGGATACTCTTCCTTCTTCACACTTTTGACCACTATATCATCGATATAGGCCTCGACCGTCTTTCCCAACATCTCATCAAAGATCTTGTTAACAAGGCGCTGGTAAGTTGCTCCAGCATTCTTGAGCCCGAAGGGCATAACTTTGTAACAGTAGGTGCCCTTCTCCGTTATGAAAGCAGTCTTCTCCTCATCCTTCGGATTCATAGGAATTTGGTTGTAACCGGAGTACGCATCAAGAAACGTGAGCCTCTCAAAACCAGTAGCGGCATCAACCATCTGATCAATCTTGGGTAACGGAAAGCTGTCTTTAAGGCAGACTTTGTTGATATTGGTAAAATCTATGTACACCCTCCATTTTCTTTTCTTCTTCTGAACCACCACCACGTTGGAGAGCCATTGTGGGTAGTACACCTCTCGGATGAAGCCTGCCTGAAGTAACTTGCTTACCTCTTCAGCTATAATTTGGTTGCGCTCTAGAGCGAACCTTCTATGCTTCTGATTGACTGGTTTGTATGCCGGATCCACCTTCAGGCTATGGTATGAGACTGAAGAATTGATCCCCGCCATGTCTGAATGTTCCCAAGCAAATGCATCTACGTTTCGTCGAATGACATCAATTAATGCTTCCTTTTCTTCGGCTGTGGGGGAAGAACCTATGTAGGTGATTTTTTGAGGATCGCCGAGGATTACTTCGACAGCTTCCAGAGACTCCTCGGTAGGTTTTCAGCTTTGGCCTCATCCTCTGCTCTCAAATACCTGGGCAGAGGATTCTGTAATTGCTATTTGGACATGCTTCCAGGAGGTGTGATCGGTTGGGACTGTTTTGTTACCTTATTTGCCTCATTCAGTGTCAACATGTAACATTCTTTGGCAGCTACTTGATGACCCTTGTGATCAATAATGTAATACCCCGATATTATAAAGGATTTATTAATTGGAATTAATTACTTTTATTTTATTTTTTAATGATTTATTTGATTTAATTTGAATTAATTGCGTTTATTTTAATTTTTAATTGATTTGTTTTATTGAGTGCTTAGATTAATTGTTTTATTTTATTTATATTCCGTGAAATATTAATATGATGATTGTTGTGTGTGTGTTTAATTATTGATTGAATTGTTGGCGTGTTGATTTTACTGGTATGGTGTGACTTGGTTGTAATTTATTATTTTGTTTATGTGCTTAGTGTAATTAGTTTTTAGTTTTTTTATTTTTTTTATTTATTTAAGTGTTTATTTAATTATTTAATTTATTTAAATTAATTGGATTTGAGCTTAAGGGAAGTTGGACCAAAAGATATGGTCTTGGGCTTGTATGAAGCTTTATTGAGTTAATTAATAAAGGCCCATGGTTATTTAATTATTTAAATGATCATTTTTGTATTAATTATAAATATATATAAAATTATAATTAATTAATAATTGTTATGGAAAGATATATATATATATATATATATATATATATATATGTAATATAATATATGTTTATAGATATATATTATTTAAAGATTATTATTTTATTGGAGGGTCCTAGTTGGAATAGGATTTGAATTTTAATGTGTATAAATATACACATAAGGTTTTAGGGTTAAAAGTTTACATGTTAGAAAAATAAAGGAGGCAGAGAGAGAGGACGAAGAAAGGCTGACAAAGAGGAGATCGAATCTGAGAGGGAGGACGTTTGGATTGGAAGAGATAATCAAAACTTTAAACGTCGGTTTCGTTTTGAAACCTTCAGGCGAGTTCTTCTCTATCTTTCTTCTTAGAACCCACAAGGATTTCACCTTGAGTATCAAGGTTTAATTAAATTATTAATTTAAATCACAGTTAGAACGGATTATTTAAAAGCATTAAGTTAATTTATTTGATTAAATCATGTTTAGATAGGATTATTTAAAAGTAGGAATTATAATAAATTTTTAGTTTGGATTATTGGATTTTATTTGTATATATAGGTATTGTATATATATTTTAAAATCAATGTATAGGTGGAATTAGACCCAAGAGGATTAATTAGGGTTTTTATATTTTTCTGGAATTTTTCTGAAATTTTATGGTATTTTTAGGAATTTATTTGGTTAACTTTTCTATATATTTTGTTGGAAATTATATATATATATATAAAATAGACGCTGCTGTGTAACGTAGGTTAATGGTGGATCAATTGGTGTGTAATCCAGTGTGGTCGGGTGCATGATAAGTTGGTGTAACCACTAGTCTAGGCCATAGGATTTATTTAATATAGTTAGTTTGATCTGGTGTGGGTGCATCTGTGTGAGCTCAAGTGAGCTAAACCAGTGTGGGCGCGCTCACAGTAGCATTTGAGCTCAGCCAATTATTTTGCCTGTTTGTGACATAAAATTAAAATGGTCATAACTTAGTCATCTTAAATCAAAATTGGGTCATTATTGAGCTCAAATTCAAAGATTTTTCGTCATCTTTCTTATGGTACTAATTTTGTTATCAGATTTTCATCCTACTAGGAGATATTTATATTTTAGTAAGACAGTGTCGGAAAACTATTTAAACCGATATGGAGTATTTAGGGGAAACTATTTCTGACATATTTGGTAGCATTAATTTGTGTAAATATAATAAATTAGTAATTTGTTGTGGAAGGAAGTGTGTGTGTGTGTGTGTGTGTGTATATATATAATTATTTATATATGTGTATATATAGTTTAATTTGTTTATAAGTTGTATGGAATGATGAATATATATATATATATATGTATATTGATTTTAAATAATCAAGGATTATTAAGGAAGGTGTTAAACACATATACATATATTAAATAATATATGTGTAGGTGTATATATTATTTAATATATATATATATATATATATGTGTGTGTGTGTGTGTTTAACACCTTCCTTAAGAATCATTTAAGATGATTAATATTATCATTCTTATTTGGTATATCTTGATAGGTTGATTATTAAATTATGCGTATAATATTCATGAGATGGTTATGTATGATTTAGCGTTTTGTTAAGTTTAAAGTGATTCATGGTTAAAGTGTAGGCATTGATGAATTGCCAAAGGATTAAAAATATTACCTAAATATTTGTATGAATATAATACGTACATGGGAAGTATGGATGAGTTGCTAATTAAATGTAAGAATAAATATACTTATGGAGGCATGGTTGAATTGCCAAAGTATAAATAATTATACTTAAGGAGGCATGATTGAGTTGCCAATATATAACTAAATATATTTATAAGGGCATGGTTGATTTGCCAAAGCATAATTAAATTGTTATATGCTAGATGATTAAAATTCTATCTAGGGTTATTGTGTGTATCTGTTGGATTAGGATTACATTAGAATAATCTAGTGTTTAAAGGTTAGTATATTCTTTTATATATAGCAAAAAAAAAAAAAAAATTAATGCTGTGAGAGACATGGATGATTTGTCAAAAGCCTAGATATTGGCTGTGTGATTTAGTGAATAAAAATCATTATCAGGATTTGAAATTTAATATAATTTTCCTTTTATTATAATTGATTGTTTAAATGATTAAATAATTGTCTATAATGGATTTATAGTCAAGGGAGTTTCTTTTTAAAAGAAATATGAATTGTGGATTGGTCTAGGAATGATTGTTAATTTAATCATTATTTAATAGTTTTGAATTTAGTGAACCTAGTAATAGATGTGACGAATGTAGTATATATAATTATATATATATGCGTATCATGGTGTACTAAAGATAAAAGCTTTATTAGGATTAGCTTTGGTCAGAGATGATCTTTTTATTGGTTTTCAAAGGCTTGGTAGAGAGAGCTTGCTCGTAGGGTTTAACCCGCGATTTATTTTTCAGGTTATTAGAAGAAGTTCTAAGTCTAAAGGTTGAGGATTCGCAACTGAAGGACTTATCCATTCTTTCAGTTTATTTAAAAGTAGGATATTATTATCATTTCATTTGATGTCAGTATTTAATAATGAACTTCTAGATTATGGATTTTGGTTAAGAGGTCCTTAAGTTATAGGATTCCCGAGTTATAAATTTTGGACAATTATTAATGAAACTTTTATTTAATAGATTCCCTTCAGCGAGTTATTTATTCTTTTTATTTCTTTTTGTACTCTGTGATTGTTTGAAATACTTTAATTATTTTGATATTTCCCTGATTTTGTGTGCGGACTTGATTAACCCGTGTTTCGAAATTAGGGGGTATCACAAATAACCTTTCTACCATCCGGAGACAAGTATCGCATCACCTGATGAAGGGTAGATGAAACCCCGTTCATTCGGTGGATCCAACCTCTTTCTATAATAAGATTATAGGAAGGGTGGATCTCAGTTAAGACAAAGTTTTCCTTCAGTGTCCTCTTTGCTGCGGTTATGGATAGGTCAATTACCCCAAGGGGTCCACCTTTGTACCATCGAACCCCATCAATGGGCTGGAGGTGGGCCGAATTGATGATGACAGAATCTCTAGTTGCTCAAAGACCGCCTTTGTGATGATGTTGGCACTGCTCCCTGGGTCTATCAAAACCCTCTTAATCATGCAATTCGCCACCAAGAGATTGATGACCAACGAATCCTCGTGGGGGAGTTGAACTCTAGATAGATCTCCATTGCCGAACCCAATGTTGACGCTTCCCGAAGCAATAACATTTACCGAGGATAGCCTCAGCTTATGGGTTGTTCTCAGTCGGGACCTATAAACCTCCTCTGACTCTTGATCATCCTCCGATCTTCCATGTATTGCATGGATGACCTTCACTTGATTACCTTCGACTTTCTGAGGGTTGACCTCCCGAGGCTTCACGTACTCCTTTGTTGTGAGGTAATCTGCCAATTCACCTCTCAGTATCATATTATTCATCTGCCGCCTAAGGGATTTGCAATCATTAGTCGTATGCCTATAATCTCTATGGTAGGCGTAGAGCTTGGTCTTGTTTCTATGTTCCAATGGTTACCTTATTGGCTAAGGAGCTGCAAACTTCATTTTATTCTCCTGGAATAACCGAGCCAAGGTTGTGCGAAGAAGCGTGAACCTTTCCTCTGTCCTTTGCCTTTTTCGGGTATTTGAATGACTAGTGCCGAAACGTGTTGGCTTTTTTAGCTTTCTGAGTTTGAAACCCTTTCCTGAGGCTTGTTCTCCACCATGACGAATGTGGCATATTGAGCTTAGTGGGCCACATTCTCCTCAAGTCGGATGTAGATCTCTGTTCTAGCATTGAGAGTCTGCATGTCCGGAGGGGAATACTTAACTAAGGATGTATGGAATTTGGTTCCCTGAATCATTGCAAGTTTGAACATTTTTATTGTGGTAGCAGGATGGTAATCTACTATTTCTGAAGCCTCTATATTAAATCTAGGCAGGAAGTCTTGTAATGTTCCGCCCTTTTTTTGCCTTATAGTGAAAAGGGTAGCAATACTCTTCTATTGCTTCTTATTATTGCAATACTGCGACAGGAACATAGTGCATAGAGTTTCGTAATCTGGAATAGATTTGTGTGGCCTATTCCTGAACCACTCCAGCGCAGCCCCCGTTAGACCGGTAGGGAAAACTTTGCACATCCATGGGTCATTATGATCGTCCAAAGCCATCTTTTGCGCGTAGTGATCTAAATGCCGAGAAGGATCTCCCGTACCATCAAACTGGATAAAAGAAGGCATAGTGAATTTTTTAGGTCTTTCAACAAGGTACACATCATAAGTGAATGGAGTCTTCACGAGAGAGTTCTTATATTCTTTGGCCATCTCTGCAGGCGTTTGAACTCTCAGGAGTCTCTTCTCGTCAAATGCTTCTTTTACTTCTGCACCATCTAGAACACCATTAGACCATATCGTGAGTTTACGGCTGGATTCGGCTTGTTCATCCTGCGTGCGACGAGGAAGATTGTCCGAAGCTACCGCCTCAGACCTTGCCCTCTGGTCTTGCTAAACTTCGGTGGGCCGAACTTCACTAAGCCGAACCCCATTGACCCGAGGCTCGTTTTGGTTGGGAGGAGGCGCAGCCTCGTCAACTGGTGGTGGCCGAACTTCATTAAGCTGAACCCTATTGACCTGAGGCTCGTTTTAGTTGGGAGGAGGCGCAGCCCTGTCAATTGGTGATGGCTGAGGTGTCAACTGAGCCATGGCCGTTTGAAGGGTGTCGTTTTGCTGTTGAAGCAATGCAATCTAGGTTACGCTGGTTTCATTCGCCTGACGAAGCGCTTCGAATTGGTGCAAGAACTCTTCTCGCATCTTTTGCATCAACTCCATCTGTTGATTTGCTGCCGTTGATTCTTCGTTCGACATTCCAGATCGTGGAAACAAAAACAATTTGAAACAAAAAGTGGGAGCATCTTTCTATACGATTCCCACAGACGGCGCCAAAGTGTAGGTGCAAAATTTCTCTCTATTGAAACAAATAAAAAGAAGAATACAACTCACTTAGAACAAGCAAAAATAAAACTTATAATAAGTATATAATACTCGATGATTTTATTGGAGGTCTAAGCCTCTATTTATAAGAAATAAGGTGGTGAAATTATGGTAGGATTCGCATGGCTTATCCTCCAATCCATTCCATATATGACTTTCTTTACAATTACAATCATTTCCTTTTTTCTTTCTATACAGAATTTTCCTTGCATAGAACTTGCTCTCTTTGTGATTCCTTGGCCTAGCAAGACTGGTCTTCCCTTAACCAAGATTGGGCTGAATGTGGGTTGACTGTAATACCCCTAATTTTAAAAGGATATTTCTGGTATTTACATTTTTGGATTTAATTGTTTTTTTTTATTTGATTAATTGTTTACTTGTTTATTGTGTTGATTAAATGGTATGTATTTTGTTTAATTATTTATTTGTTAATTTTTGCTTAATTGTTAATTATTTATTTGTTTTAATTATTTGATTAATTGTTAATTATTAATTATTTGTTAATGGTTGTTTTTATTTATTTATTTAATTTATTATTATTATATTTCTGGTACTCATAAACTTACGTAAGTTCTTATAGCCGACACTATTTTAAACCTAGGTTGATTAGTGGGCCAAGTTGTATATGGATTAGGGTTTAATGTTAGGTCTATAAATATATAATATTACTGTGGTTTAGGGTTTTAAAGGAAGTTAAACGTTTTCTGTAAAACGATTACAGTGACTTGAGATATAGAGAGAAACAGAGAAGGATAGGAAGGAAGGCTAGGGTTTTGGTCTAGACTAAGGTTGGACCAAGAAGAAGGAAGGAGAGGTTGTTCGTAGGTGATACCAAGAGCAACAGAGGAGGAACATCAGTTACGCTTTTCGTCAGAAAATTTCAAAGACGATAGTTAGAGATTTTAAACCAAAGTCTCGAAGGCAAGTTTCTGTTCTTCTTTTTCCCTTTAATCTGTGTTCTGTGCATGCCTAGCTAGACTCTAGGAGCTTAATTAATGCTAAAATATAATAATCATGCATGTTTAATTGGATTAAAACAGAGAGTTTCAGATTTTATATGTTTCTTCATAATTTCTTTATTTCTTAGATCTTTATGCATGAATTGTGGTTTAATTTGAATCTTTGTCTGCTAAATCATTTAAAATAATTTATTATGGACGTATGGGACATAGGTTGAAGTTTGGAGACCTTAACAATGGAGTTTTAGGGTTTACAGAGGCTGAACAGACGAAGAAGACGACCTCCGCACTAACTTAGGCAACTAAGTTTGTGACTTAGGGGGCTGAGTTGGTAACTTAGGCTGCTTAGTTGTAACTTAGGCTTCTGAGTTGGTAACTTAGGCTGCTTAGTTATAACTTAGGCGGTTGAGTTGGAATTTTTGGTTTTAAACGCCCAGTTTGGGTTTTTGTACACTGTTTGGACTATACAGAGTGTTAGCTCCTCGTTTCAATTGTTTTAAATGTTTTATAGGACTGTTGTGGACCTGTAATAACATAGAGAAACAATAGTTCATAAATGGAATAGGGATTAGACAGTGTGAAGCTCGGGATAAATCTATACGTTGCACACTGTTTTGCTAGTTTTATGTATTGGAACTTAGCAAGGTTTTATATATGATTTAATTATATATATAATCATATTTACAGATTATTATAAGTATGGTGAGTTAACTAAAATCAATTATACTTAGATTGGATTTAATTGATACTTAAATTGTGTTAAATTGTATCAATTCATGGACTATGTTGGAGGATCTTCTAGGTTTATATACTGGAGCTTAGCAAGGTTGTTATATATGATTGAACTATAAATATAAATCATATTTCCACAGTAGTATAAGTATAGTGAATTAGCTAAAACTTCCTATGCTTAGCTTGGATGTAATTGATACTTAAAATCCTATTAACGGTGTCAATTCCTGGACTGTGTTGGTGAATGTGATTGCTTAAATTTATTGTAGTAGTTTACATTACTGGGTTTGGATTTTAGGCTATATAATGAATGCCTAATATTTATGTAAATGCATTAAATTTATCTTGTGCATATTCTGGAGTGTGGTTGATGACTATTTAATATTGTTTTCTCAACTGTGTTCACTGGAGGATTGTATGTACCGGTATGGGACGGTGACATACTAGGGATAGTTTAGCTCAAAACGCTTAAACCTAACCTATCGGATTAAAGGAATGGATTGAAAAACATTGAATCCTAATTGTGACTAAGTCAGATCAATTGTGACTAAGTTGAATGGCTTCCTGGATTAATGGATGGTAATTAAGTCATATCAACTGAATAAGTTGAGTGACTAACTATTTTGTATATTGTATGTCATCTTAATAAGTATTTGAATGACATACCCTGGTCTTGGAAGGACTTTATATATATGTTTATGGTAGCACGAGATGAGCTTGAGTCTCAAACTCGTTGGTTAGGGTGCGTATATGCAGTGGATGCGTAGCTGGTTAAAGTAGGTTGAGGTGTACCCTGTTAGGTCTAGGTACTCATGCCTACCTTTGGGTGCGTTTTCGTATGTTGCCTTTCAGGTTGAGACCCCTACTGTAGTCCAGTGAATGTCCCTTAGTGTGGATATATATATGTATGGACTAGATAGATATTGTTGAGCTATCTAGGATGTATCTGCATATCGGATTACTGTTTAGATCGTAGTAGAATAGGACTTGCATGTGGGCCTGACCCACTCTTTATTTTCCAGGTGTTCGTCAGTTCCAGGGTTAGAGCTTGGATGTGCAGAGCAGATACAGACACTCACTCCTCCGTTTACGTAGGACTACTCTCTATGTTTAGCTTTATGTTTCATTTCAGTTATTTCAGTTTCAGTTTGGGATTTTATTAGGGGTCCACAAGGATGGATTCTCGAATTGTTAAACTTATGGAGTTTTGGATTATCGGATTTTAATAATTATAGCTTGAGGATTTTTTACTTTAGAATTCTTTCAGCGTTATTATTTATTTTTTTCAGTATTTTGTAATCCGTGTTCGTTTTAAAATACTTTAATTGTCTGATATCCCTCGGGTTTGGGCCTGGGCCTGATCAACCCGTGTCTCGGATCTGAGGGGTATCACATTGACCCAGACAAATCAGCTAATGGGCTTGGAGTTCACCTTTGGTGTTCCGGGCTGCTGATGTCTGGGCTTGGAAGGTGGACCGGATGGCCTTGCTCTGGACTGGGTTGCTCCAATTTGGGCTCGGCACCGATTGGGCCCTTGCTGTACTTAGAGTAATTTTGTCGTGTGATGACGTGGGCGATTCTTACTGGAAGGAGAATTTTTTCGCTCCATACCAGTGGCCTAGCGGTACCAAGCCCCTATTTTTCGAAGGGTGATTAGGGGTTCGAGTCTCAGTGGAGGCATGTGTATGTGAGTACCAATTAGGAAATTTTTTTTATTTTTATTAAACTCTAACTCATCATCTTTAGAACTTTTTCATCTCCCTATATAAAAAGTGCTTTGAATTTATTATTGATTAATGTGTTATTTGTATTTATTAATAGTAATGCTCATTTGTTTCTACACATAATTTTTTTTCATAGAGAACTTATAATTTCTTATTACCAACACTTTATATGAAATTGTGACTAAATTCATGAAGGAATAGTTGCAGAGGATGAAATGTAAAAGGGGCGGTAAGCCTTATGATAATTGAGGTTTGTATAATATAATTGGTCTGAACATCTTGGCAAGTACCTTAGGTAATAGTTGATTTTGCACCTTCAAAAATTTTTAACCGTAAAAAATGAGAACGTTAATTGATGTGCATGTAATAAAATGAATGCCTATTAATCTTAATCTAAAAGCGGCCAATAATTGACATGGTATATAATATTTAAATTATACAAATATATTCTAATTGTTTATCTTGATCACATAGTTATCATTGTATTGAGTTAAATATCATTATAAAATGAATATTTACAAATGATAAGTGAATTGATTCTTTTGTGTATTCTTCTAATTTTTGTTTTTGAATTCTTTTTTATTTTTTAAAAAATAAAATATCGAGTTTTATATAAAGTTTATTTGTTATGTAAAATGTTTTATTTCGTCACGTGCATCGCACGTGAATTTTTCTAGTATATATATATATAAATTAAAACCGTATGAGAAAGAATATATATTAATAATATTAGAACACCTACATTCCAGCAATATTATTATTATTATTAAGGTAAAGTGCATTAAACCCCCCTAAATTATACCCCAATGAGCAAAAAACCCCCCTGAATTTCAAAATGAACAAAAAAAACCCTTAAACTATTTAGTTTGTTGCAGTTTACCCAATCCGGCAACCGACCGATCAATTTCCTTGCACGTGAGAGGCCAAATATATGCAAATGACCATACAACCCTTATCAAATTTAAAAGACTATAATGTCCATGAAAAACCATTGTACCCAAACAAGCCCTAACTAATTCACTCATTTTGTTCTTCCTCCATCGATCTATGGTGCTCATTTTTCAATATCAGTGTGTATCGTATCGATCTCCTCCTTTATTTCCAAATCATTGTGTATCGAGATCGATCTGTGTATAGCATGTTTGTATCTATCCATCGTTTAATTTTAGTAAGGGTCTGTCTCTGTATGTATCACTGTGTGCGCATTCTCTTAATGTTTATATATATACAAACACATCACATATGATATATATATACACACAACACATATGATGCTCGTGACCGATCCTTTGGCATTAGAACTGAAACAATCCGACGTATAGTTTTAAGCTTTTATACCCAAATGTTAAGCGTAGTATATAGTGAGTAAAAATATAAAAAAAATCAAAAAATCAAAACCCATTTACAGAACAAGAAGCTTGGATTCATCATTGTCGGCCGCTCTTTTCCACCACCGTATTTTTTCCTCACGGCCGAGCCCTCACTGGTCCATCACCGCCGCTGCACCACCCGCTGTCCATCACAACCGACATCATCCTAAGCTGAAATCGTCGAGGCCGTCTTCATCCTCTCCATCGTCTGAAGCCTCCTTGCTCGCTGTGAGTTTGATCGTCGTTTAATCCCGCCAAGCTCGCCGCCAAGAATCATTCACAGCCGAGTTAGCCGAGCCCTCCACCAGTTAAGCCTCCGCCGTCTCTTCAGTTTAGTCCACCTGCCTTGTCGTCACAGGCAGCCCATTTCTATCAAGCTGCCACAACCAAGCTCGTTACTGCCCTGCCCGCCATTCTGTAAATCCCTGGCTTCGTCATCGTCTTTTCAATTTGGGGGTTATTGTGTTATACCTCGGCGGCTTGGACAGGGACGAGTTAGAGAGAGAGGGGAGTGAAAAGAGACCCAGTTAAAGATAAAGAAAAGAAAAAGAAAAAAATAACAATAAAGTTAGCAGCCTATTGGCTGCTGACACGTGTTCGCCCAGGCATTTTATTTTCCTCACTATGATGTGGCACCCTTTTATGAAGGGGTAAATTAGACTTTTCTAATTTTCGGTAGCCAGAAATGACCTTAAAAACATTCTCTATCCTAAGATTACACTAAGACCATAGTTGATGGGGGTTATTTGTAGTTGAGGGGGGTTTGTTGCACTTTTCCCCTATTATTATAATTGTTGAATAACAAAAAATAATAATAATAAAAAATTTGTTTTACAGTAATTTTTTTATTTAAAGCCTTACAATTTTTTTTTTCTTTTTTATGATAAAAAAAAAAGAAAACAGAGGAGAGAGAAAAAGAGAATAAAAAAAAAAAAAAATTGTTTGAGTAGGTTAAGATGGGTACCCACTCTTCACCCACCATTAATCCTTAAATTAACTGAGTATCTACTTTTTATGAGTATGAGCATCTGTAGCTAGCTCGCGGAAGCCCAAATTCCGCGAGCATCAGGCCCTTTGGGTGTACAGTGGCCTAGCTAAAAATTGTGGGGCCCAGTTTCCCTTGTGGGGCGGCTCACGGTATTTAGCGAACCGGCCCGCGATCACTGAATATTGGTGTTTTTTTTTTTTTTTTTTTTTTTTTTTTGTGTTGCAAAACGGCACCGTTTTCAGTTGCCTTTTTTGTTTTATTCTAATGCTCGTAGAACAGTGGCTGGGTACTATTTGGCAAATTTTTTTTTTTTTTTAAAAAAAAAAAACCTAAAAATAGGTTATTTTGAACTCTTTTTTTTTTTTTTTTTTTTAAATAATAATAAAATTCATTAAATAAATAATATATTGTCTAGGCACTGTTTGTTAAAAAAAAAAAAAAAAAATTATTTGGGCCAAAAATAAATTAAAAAAGCTTTTTTTTTTTCCCCTTAAAATTTGTTTTTATTTTTTTGCTTTAAATTTAAATATGTGCCACAAACAAAGCATTTGGCCGTTAAAACACTGTTTGACTGACACAAATAGTGCCTTAATGGCTATAATTTTTTTGAAAAAATACACAAATTTTTTTTAAAACTTTTTGTAAAAAAAATAATTAGAATTACAAATTCATCTACTTATTCGCATAGGATTTTGTAATCCTTATTTTCTTATTCCAATTCATTATTTTTAATTTTAAAAAACCATTACATAATAAAAATTATAGTACATGAAATGTTATAACATCTTAAAAGCAAACAAAATAAAACATAAATTAAACATCTTCATCCGCATAGCGGTTCCACAAATTTTCAATCAAATCATTCCTCAACCGCGTATTTGTCTCTCTGTTGCGAATTTGAAGTTGGCGAGAGGATATGTGTGCCGCTAAAACCGATGGTCATCGACTTAAAGTGGGAATCAGGATTGCATCCTTCGGTGACGGAGTTTATCTTCCAACTTTTGCGTGACGTTCATCTTCAATGATCATATTGTGAAGGATGATGCACGTTTTCATTATGAGGCGCAAGTCATTTTTCTCCCAATAACGCATTGGTCGTTGCGTTATTGCCCACTTGATCTGCAATACCTCAAAAGCCTGTTCCACATTTTTCCTGCATACCTCTTGTCGCTGAGCAAACAATTTTTCTTTTCCAGTGGTTGGGTGCGGGATGGTCTGCATCAAAGTTGCCCACTTAGGATATATACCATCAGACAGGTAATACCCCCATTCTATAGTGATGTCTATTCACTACATAATTAACCGGAGGTAATTGGCCATTAATGATACCGTTGAATACCGGAGAATGATCCAACACATTTATATCATTATGTGAACCTGGCATTCCAAAGAATGCATGCCAGATCCATAAATCTTGTGAAGGAATTGCTTTCAATATGAGAGTATTCTTGCCAGAGCGTCCCCTATGTGTGCCGTGCCACTCCAATAGGCAATTCTTCCACTCCCAGTGCATACAGTCGATAGAACCAAGTATGCCCGAAAATCTTTTCTGTTTCCCTTCTTCAAGCAGCCGTGCTATGTTAGCTTCGTTAGGTGGGCGCATATACTCCTTTGCATACACAGCAACAATAGCATTACAAAATGCCTTCAAGCATTTAATGGTAGTGCTCTCGCCGATTTTAATATACTCATCATAGTGATCGGCTGCATAACCAAATGCGAGTATACGAACAACAATTGTTGTCTTCTGTATAGAAGACAACCCCAGACGACTAGTCGCATCCTTTTTTTGTTGGATAAAGTAGTCGTCATAAGCTTTGACATCATTAAGGATATGAAGAAAAAGTTCTCGTTGCATCCTGAATCGCATGTGAAATTACTCTATGTGCAATTCTTGTTGAAGTAGTCTTTTATTAGTTGATAGTGGCTTTCCTCTCGGTTACGATGTATGTACTGCTTCTTTTTACGGACTTGAAATATTTGCTTAACTCTCTCTGACCTCACTGAATTTATAATCTCATAGAATTCGTCTTGATCCTGTTGAATCAATGAGCTAATAGGGTCATCTTCCAAAGAGGATGACAAGGAAGATGAAGAATTAGAGTCTGCCAAAGGAAAAATTTGTGATGACGAAGCCATTGGAATTTCAAAATTGAAAAAGATGGATAATGATATTTTGCTAGAATGGAGAGAGATGAATGTAGTGATGATTTTCAGATGAATAAATGAATATTCATTATATAAGATGAAAAATATAGCCGTTACGAATATAGTCATTAGAAATATAGCCGTTTAAGAAATTTTTTTTTAAAAAATTTAAATTTAATTTAAATTAATTTTTTTTTTTAAAGAGCGAAAATTCGGAAAGCCTGATGGAGTGTATTTTTCTGGAGAGCAAAAACTACTGACGTGGCTCTTGAAAAAGCTGATGTGACATTTTTAGAGAGCCAAAATCTGGAGAGGCTAGTGCAGATGGCCTAATGATACTCTGGTCGACAAAAAAAGCCGAATATCAGTCCAAATCCTAAGTGGCTGTGCCAAGTCATGATTTCACTAAGTGCACCTCTCTTTCTCCGTGTGTTCCGCCTCTCAGACTCTCAGTTCTTCTTCTTTTTTCTCTCTCCTCAATGATTTTTTAAGACCTAATCTTTAGACTTAATATGAACTTCTTTAGGTATTTACATGAACAAGACTAATCGAATATTTATGTTTATTATTTCTCAAAATCACAACTTCATTTTTCTTCTTTTACTTCATCGCATATGAGGAATGATGTTTGAAACACAATTTAGTCTTTTCATAAAACACTTTATCTTCTTGTTGTTTGAAGGAGAAAAAGATTCATGCGACAACAGAAATCTAGAAAAATGTTCAAATTCTTCAATTTATTCTAAAAACAATAAGAAATCTACAAAAAAAAAAAAAAAAAAAAAAAAATCATCGACCACTATACACAAGTGTTAACAGATTAATTTATTTTGGTCTTCCATTAATGAACAAAATCCCAATTTAATTGACCATTTGAAATGAAATTGAATTCATGATTTTGAATAAAATGCACCACAATCGAAGGAAGAAAGGAAGAGGAGGAATCAAGAATTGAGAGGAAAAATCGGCAGAAACCAAGAGAGAGAGAGAGAGAGATCCAGAGCGTATGAGCAATGCCACTAGATGAATTCCCGGTGGTTTCATCTGGAAAAGGACTACCTTTTGCAACGTGCGATTGTGGAGGAGAACTATTCATTAGGAAGGAGTGGCGAAACAACCTTTAGCTTTTGAAGATAAATAAATAAATACGTGCTATTCCACTTAGGATTCGGATAGAGATTCGGCTAATTTTATCACCAGAATATCATTACTCACTTTTTATTTGTTATTGACTCACTTACTTAAGGTTTGGATACTAAAATAATTTAATTTTAACGAGTAAATTTAAGTAATTTAATGAATTTAGACTTAAATTTTTACCCTTACAATTTACTTGTGTAATTTGAATTTTTATTTAACCAAACAAAAATTAAAATACATTAAAAAAACACAAATTAAAATAATCACATTGTCTAAAAATATCTCGTCCATTCCTTGGTCTTTTACTTCCATTCATTTTTCTATCTCCAACCAAATTCATCAGAAAGTCTTTCAAAACTTTTCATGTATCAATTGATTTGCTTTTTCCGATAAATGATTAACACATTTGAATTGAATCCATTTGCAAATTATTCAACAAATTATTTAATAGTGGCATTACTCAGCATTTCACCAATAAAAGTAACATAAACTAATGCTCGTAATTAAAAGGTGCAAAATAAATAAATAAAAATACAAAGATGAGAGCTTGAGGTTTCAGAAATTAAGAACCATCCATCACATGCAAGCAAGAGGGTTGGTTGTTTTGGACTGTGGAGAGCAAAATCAGCAACGTCCATAACTTGAGTATTGTAACGGCGAGATAACCAATACAGATCTGTGTGTATATATTATTTAGGTTACGCCATTCATAAACTAGGTTTTGATTGATATATATATATATATATATATATATATATATATATATATAATTGCGATAAGCCATTGATAAACTAGGTGTTGGGTTGATATTGTTTCGATCGCCTTTTGCATCGAAAACTACGGAAATGTTAGGATTACGATTCCTAAGATGTCCTTTATCTTCGTCTCTGCCCTCAAACCTCCCCTCTACAAAACCCACAATAACTCATCCACTGATCTCTGTCTCTGTCTGTGTCTCGAGAACGTCAAATTCGAAGCTCAGGTCGCAATCGCAAATGGGGTTTTGTACGACGACGTCGCCGAAGCTCTTATTTCGCCAGCTCTTCGAGAAGGACTCCTCTACCTTTACTTACCTTCTCGCCGATACCTCTCATCCTGAAAAACCCGCTCTGGTAAATTCCTCGCCCAGCTTATATTATCTTGTGGTAATTTTATTGCACAATGGTGATTGTGGAAATTTTTTGGAATGACTTTTTTTTGGTTCTCTTAATTTCTTTATAATGGATCTGAAATGAATTTATTCAATTATTTATTAATGCTGGTATTCTGAATTGCAATAGATTATTTTATTTATGTCATTTTTGTTCTAATTTTGCTCGGTGATTATGTTGATTTCATTGTGTCTGGTAATTAGTTTGTGTGCTTAATTGTTTATGTGAAAGAGAAGGATTCAGGGTTTGTTTGCGAGGAGGAAGTAAGCCCATAAAGTGGGATTATTTGATTAGCATATAATTTACTTAATATAACAAAAAAAATATTGTAAAATTGGATAAAAAAATAATAATAATAAAAAAATAAAAAGTTGACCCTTTTTCAATGTTGGTCCTGGTCAACAAAATGACAGGTGCTAGAAGTGGAGACTAATACAGAACTTAAATCTGGCTTTGAAGTGGCTGGCCTCAACCTCCAACCCTTTATTTCTGCTTAGTAACACACAGATGACCCTAAAAAGTAAAAGAAAAAAATGGATTAAAATAAAATTTAAAAAGTAATAAATGGGCAAGATGCCATTTAGAAAAAAAACAGAAGTATGAGAATCAAATTCACTTGTTGGTGCAGTATGGTTTTTTAAGCTTTTGTTGACCAACCTAATTTTGACGTTAGTATAAAGTTTTGAAAAATTTCAAGGCTAAGCATCAATGAATTAGCATTTATTTCCTGTATTAACTATTATGGGTTAGAAGGGAAGATGGAATATAGAAAGCAAAATGAGCCGTTCTTTACAGGGCAATGTTAGAACTTGTAAATGGACTGAAATCCTATAAATGCCAAAATTTTGAGATTTCTTTCTTCACCCCCTCCCCTCCTTCTGTTTTTGAGATTCTTTGATTTAAAAGGCTTATGATATTTTTAAATATTTTATGTTTATTCTTCAAATAGCTGATTGATATAGTGTTTTATTGATCAGTACACGCTGCAAGATTAGCCTCTGGACCACATAAAAGAACACTCCAATCTTTTAAACCAAATTTTGCACAAGATTAGCCTCTGGATCACATAAAAGAACACTCCAATCTTTTAAACTAAATTTTGCATCAATATTGTGTTTTTCTTTGGTTGCGGTGTATGCTGACATTGTTTATCTATATGAAGCTGGTTGACCCAGTGGACAAGACAGTGGATAGGGATCTTTCTCTTGTTAAAGATCTGGGGTTGAAGCTTATATATGCTATAAATACTCATGTACATGCTGATCATGTTACTGGAACCGGCCTTATGAAGGTATATCAAATATTCACTCACTTCAGAGCAATTTGTAAGACTTTTGTTAGTGCTTCAGGTTGTGATCATCTTGAACAAATTCATTTTTGCCAATTGATTATTTATTTTAATAGTTCAATAGAATTTCTCAGCATTTGTTACTTCGTTGTTGTTTATTGTGTTACTCTTGCCTGCAGAGCAAGTTTCCTGGTGTTAAATCTATCATTTCCAAAGCAAGCAATGCAAAAGCTGATCTCTTTGTTGAACCTGGTGATGAAATCTATTTTGGTGATCTCTTTTTGGAGGTAAGGATTTATGTGCAATTTCCAGATAGTTTTGTCTGATAAGTTGAATGTATGAGGATTCCTTATCAAAAAAAGAAGAAGTTGAATGACTATTATATAGCTGTGAGTTTTATTTAATTTTAGCTCTGTTCAGTTGGCGTCTCTCGAAAACCCTACTGCCTTGGGAATGGTTTCTCTCACAAAAGATATGATGCTCATAGATCAAATTTTAAAAATAGTAATTTTAATTAACCTATATTTTTATTTATGAAATGAAATTCTTGTATAAAAGAATAAATGATGACATAATATGAACAATTTTATTTCTTTGGTATCATGAAAATTTAAACACTAATGTTATGTTGTGAAAATAAGTGACAGATGCGATTCAGTTAGTTAGTTGTATTCTTTGTGGTAATGGTCATAATGTATATAAGAAAGTAATTTGGAACAAGGAAGTGATATAATGAATAGCAAGGTTTTGGTTTCATGTAGATGATCGATTTGTGACTTCAGCATCTGGGTGACAATATGCTGGTTCGAATTATGCATATAATTTCCATTTTAGATTATCTACATAGGGTATAATATTATACATTTTGATATAGTTTGTGTTTGTGCATAGTAGAATGGTGGAATGATAATAAAAGAATAGGTAAGGGAATGTATTGTTTTTAATTAAGATCATGATTGTGGTCAAGTATACATTGCATCATACCACCTCAAACCAGTATGTAACTTGCAATCGTGAGCAGATTGTTAAGAATTCCACATCAGTGGGCTCTGGTAACCCTTTGGATTAGCCATCTGTCAGAACTTCCTCAGTCAAATCTATGTATGTGTATGGAATTTCCGTCTAATCATACTGCTTCCAGGTGGATCGTGATAACATCCTATATTGATGATCTGTTAATTAGGGCAATCTTGTGGTGATTTCTATCGTATGATCCATTTCACATACTTGTTGTGTTGTTTTTTGAGCCATTTTAAATGAAAATGAAAATTTATGGATGATTAGTGAGATAATGTTGTAGGATGTGCTAAAGTGAACCCAAAGTGACTCTTACATTTGATAATAGGTCAATATATAGTAATGTATATGCGTGTGAGCGTTAGACTATGCGGTTAATGCTGCTTTATTCTCCACCCGACTTATCTAATAGAACAAATAATAAATTTCTTACAGGTTCGTGCTACACCAGGTCATACCTTAGGTTGTGTTACCTATGTTACAGGAGATGGACCTGAACAGCCTCAACCAAGGATGGCTTTCACGGGTGATGCCCTATTAATACGTGGATGTGGGAGGACAGATTTTCAGGTAATTGTTTAATAAAAAAGAATCTGCTTCTCAATTCCTAGCGTAATGTGCAATTGCTTCAGAAATTTGGGTTACCACAAAATATATTTGACATAATGATCGGAATAATCTCATGAAGTATGTAGCAATAAAATATTTTTGGGGTGAGCATCATGGATTGTTTCTTCCGTCTTATTCCCATAGCTAAGTGGTAATGTATCAACTGTTAAACTTTTGCTGCATAAATGATTTTGTGTTCCTTAACATATTCCTTTTCCACTTATAGAGCTTTAAGCATGCATTGACTTCAAGTAAGTCATTTGTTCTTGGTGCCTGCTTGTCTTAGAACTTACAGTAACTTTTCTACACATTTTCCCCTTAAATCATGTTTTTAAAAAGACAGTTGAAGTGAAAATGCTCAGTTTATTATCATTCAATTCAACTATAGGTTTTTCTTGTCAATTCGGTCGAAGCAAGGGTTTTTTAGGATTTCAACAAGTTATATCACTCTCATTTTATTGCGGTCATTATAGTAATTTCTCCACATTATACAAGTTTATCAGCTCGAATGCTATTCAAAGCACAATGCACTTGGTCAATCTCCATGGCACATTGTGCTTTGGTCTTACTGGGTGCCTATAGTTTACCATTTCCAGGAAATTAATTTAAGCAGCTAGGCTTAATCAGTTTTTTCACTGCAGGGTGGAAGTTCACAACAGCTGTATAAATCAGTGCATTCACAGGCAAGGAAATGAAAACTCAGTATGTTCCAAATATGAAGTAAAATAAGAAAAATAGAAATTGTAAAAAAAAAAAAAAAAATTTATCTTCATTTGTTTAATTTTAATTTTATCTGTCACTGATTAGATTTTGTCTTATGGGGCCAGATCTTTACACTACCAAAGGACACTTTAGTGTATCCTGCTCACGACTACAAAGGTTTCACTGTAAGTATACATCTAATGCCTCTTGTTTCTGGGATATACCTGTATAAAAATAGCTACTTATAAAATCCTATCAATTTCCAGGTTAGTACTGTGGGAGAGGAAATGCTCTATAACCCTCGTTTGACAAAAGATGAGGTAATTCTGCATCTAGAAAGTGTATTTTTCTTATTCCAGTCATGGACTTTTACAAATCTTGGTTGCTTGTAGTTGAATAGCTAAAGAGCTTCTTTTTTTTTTTTTTTTCTTTTTTATCAAGGAAATTTTTATCCTAAAAAATACTGAAGTTCCCAACTTCAATGTTAGAGGATAAGTTCCCCAAGTTGTGAAAAGTTTGGGAAGGGTATATTTTCAAAAGCAAAAAACAAAGAGAACTGAACGAAAAGAAAAGGAAAAAAAAAAAAAAAAAGATTTGGGAAAAGGCATATAATTTACCTTGCACCTCCAGGTTCTGGAAAAATTAACTTGGTAATGTTTTTGTTATTTTTGATGATACACTATAAAAATTGCAACAACCTAACCTCAACTTCTCTTTTGATGTAATGGTAACAAATTTTGCCACTGTATTAAATAGCTTATAAACTGGATGAAATTAACTTCTGAATAATAAATGGAAAATAGAGTTCTTTTTCAACTGTGCAACTTTTGAACATTGGACGATTATGTGGAAAAAAACAAAAAATCAAGGAAAAAGATATGGCAAGTTTAATGGAAAATCAATCCCAATTCACGTAAAAGAAAAAAGGATAATTACTCTTTTGTTTTCTTTTACTTTGAAAATCTGGTCCGACTTCTTTTTACTAATTTATTTGTACGTTGGTGAATGCTTAATATTGCAGGAAACATTCAAGAACATCATGGAAAGTAAGTAGTTTGTGTTCAAAAGCTGGTGAAAGCTAGTGTTGCATTTATTAGTATATGCAATCATAATTATATATCAACTGCTAATTGCTGCACACTTATTTTTGACAGATTTAAACCTATCATATCCAAAGATGATAGACATAGCGGTTCCCGCAAATATGGTCTGTGGGTTGCAAGATTTAAATGCCAAAGCCTGTGTGCTCTGAGTATAGGTCCGTACATAGCTGGTTATGGTAGTTGATGTCAATGTTAATCGAGACCAGATCTCTATGCATAATAAATTGATGAATGTGGCCTTTAGGTGTCAAAACTTTTAATAAATGGCCGGGGTTGTTGGGATGATCCACTGTTTCTATGTGCTCTTGTTTTGCTACTCTTTTATGTTGGCATGCAGAATGCAGAATTCAAATGGACTCAACATGGTAACAAAATTATTCATAAGAGATGAATATTAAAGTGGTATTAATATCAGGTCATTATGGGAAAGCATTTGCATTTGCCTCAACAATGTAGGTTCTAAATTAGAAGATGATAGCAGCACTCCATAACGCTTCTTCATTGTCTCGACTCTTCTGCCCCCAACAAGGTAATGTGATGGATTTCATGTTGAATTTTAGAGAGTACTTAGGAAGATTATGGATTCGTATGTTATGGGAATTGAACTAGTTGTTTGTCTTGCCAATGTTAGACATGTATTATACTCGAACTACCTAGTTTCGAGTGTGTTGCGTTTTATTATGAAGTAGAATGATTGTAATTTGTAGCCTTATAATGTGGGAGACTGCTATAATATACACACTGTATGGGTAACATGGAAAATGTACTGTTGACATTATTGTCTCCTGAATTAATAAAATCGTATAGCATTGCTTTCCTTAAGCCTTCTCGTCCTATTGGTTATATATTTTGTTCTCCATTATTCTATTAAGACTGGAGGACTGGATTGATTTTTCTTCTGCATGCATGGGTTTCTTCAGGTCCATTCGGTGCACTTAAATTGAGAATGTAGAATCATGTAATAACATTAAAGGTAATTACACGGACCTTCCTTATGGTTTGTCATAATTACAGAGATCTCTTCTTTAGTTTAAGTAATTATTCGGACCTTCCTTAAAAATGAAACTTACACAAACTTTCCTTTTGTCACTAAGGGTCAGTTTGGTGCAATGGAAAAGTGAGGAAAGGAAAGGTGATTAAAAAATTGTGTTTGGCAAAAATGGTAGGAAGGAAAAGAAAGGTTTTGGAAGGTTATCAATAGGCTTAAACAATAATTTCCTTATCCTCCCAAAAATGAAAGGAAAGTGAAGGAAAGGGTTGATGTGTTATTTGTGATGCCAAATTTACCCTCAAGATTACACTTGATTTTAGGGCAAGAGAGTTGAGAGACAGCGGGCCAGCGGCTGAAGTTAGCAGTTGCAGAGAGAAGGGGCGGGCAAGAAAGTTGAGAGACAGCGGGCCAGCAGCTGAAGCTTGCGAACGACGAACCCGAATTGGAGCAGTGGGCGATGGAAGCTGAAAGGTACGGGTTTTGCTTTTTTGAACAATCTGAAATGATATGCTGATATGGGTTTTGATATAGGTAATAGGTTTTGAACTTTTGATTCTTGCAGACAGATAGATAAACTGAAATATATGGGTTTTGAACTTCTGATTCTTGTAGATTTTGTAGTTTGTAGTTGCAGAGAGAGAGAGAGAGAGAGAGAGAGAGAGGGCAAGTTCAGAGTTGAGAACGATAATAGAGATAGAGGCGATGGGGAGGCTGAAATGATTTGCCCTAAAAATATATATATTTTTTCGGCCCATTATCTATGGGCCAAAAAATTTTGAGCCCCATAAATTTATCTTTTAAAATATAGAAGGGCATAATAATAAATTTATTAAAATACTTTCCTTTTTTTTACCAAACATGATTATTATCATTTTTTTTTTCTTTTCTTTCATTAATCAACCAAACACGATAGGAGGTTAAAATTATCCTTCCCTTCCATTCCCTTCCCTCATAACTAATGTTATTTTTTCTTTTCATTCCCACCGAACCAAACATAGCCTAAGGGACTGTGTTGATGTCATATACTTAATTAACTAAAATGACCATAATACCCTTATCCCTACCATTATATATATATATATATATTATAGGATTGTACTTTTCAGTGAGGCACCGACCAATATTAAAGAGCCACGTCAGCAAAAATTAAGTTAGCATTGACCAAAGCACAAGTCACCACCTCTCTCTCTAAAACGAAGCTAACCAGATGATTACGATGATTGGGTCACAACAGCGTTGATGGAGGATGGCACTGGACGGCACTGGTGTAGAGGGTGGTGAAGGTGATGTTCGGCAACACCATCGATGAAGAAGCTAAGGCGGTGTTTGACGAGACCACCGATGAAGAAGTTGTTAGAAATTGTGAATGAAAATTGTTTGATTAGTCATCAATAGATGCCTTGGACTGAACATGTGCAATTATTGGTTGGTTATGTGATGAAAAGATGCAACTCAAAACCAACAGACACCATGTGAACCATTGCAACTTATTGGAGTGGATGTGTCTATTGGTGAACAGACACCATGTGAACCATGCAACTTGTTTGAGTGGTTGTGTCTATTGGTGAACAAACACCATGTAAACCATTGTAACTTATTAGAGTGGATGTGTCTATTGGTGAATAGACACCATGCGAACCATTGTAACCAATTGGAGTGGTTGCGTCCAGTGATGAAGAGACACATATAAAGTGATGAAGAGACACATATAAATGGTTGTGTCCAGTGATATAGAGACACATATAAATGGTTGTGTCCAATGATGAAAAGACACACCTAATCCGAAAAAGGCATATTACTTAAAAACTACTTTTTAGTTTTTTTCCAAAAGGTTACACCCACCCAAAAAGGCACCTTGTTGCCTATAAATACCCCCCTTTGGATCATTTGCAAATTGTTCATTTCATTTTCTTATATCTCCCTCTCTAGACTTGAACCCAACCGAAGTGGGTTCAAACCATATGTTAAGTGGTCCGAGCCACTTAGACCCTAATCCAATTTCATCGAGCCATAGTAAGATTGGTCTGAACCATTTGGTTCGGATTATACCCAATTCAACATTTATATAGTATCTACATTTTAAGTCAGAGAGAGTATTACACGGAGGAGGTTCACCGTATCCATGAGTTTGTAGTGCTGCTACTGGTGGATGTAGACCGTTGTATCCTGGGAGATAGACGCCACTGAGTCCGTTAGCACCATAGAGGGGTGAATCTGTCTTAAGGACATAGTATTCAATATTAGCCTCGGTTCAGGTTCTTTATTTATTATTTATTAATTTATTACTTTATTTTGCATATTTAATTAAATATATAGTTACATTTTTAATTAATCATTTTTTAGCATATTATTAATTATCTCATATCATATTAGTATAAGGGTTGTTATATCTTAAAAGTCACATGAAACATATATTTTACCAACAATCTTAAGACATAATCTATCCTTGCATAGATATTATTATATGTTTCTATTTAAGATATAACCAAATAGAGATTATACTAATAATTGAGATATAATAAAATATTATTATATACATTATTATATGATAATATGCTAAATATTGATGTATTAAATATTATGTGAAATTGAAGCATGTTATATAAGTAGATTATTGAATTATTTATTATTTTAAATATTGGTTGAATTATTTTAATTTTGTAATATGATATTATGTAGTATATTATATTATCTTAAATTTGTGCCAACTAGAGGTGTAAAAAGGTATTTCGTTACTTTTATCAATGATTGCACGAGATATTATTGTGCATATTTTCTACGAAGCAAAGATGAAACCTTAGAAATGTTTAAATATTATAAAAATAAGGTTGAGAATCAACTTAGCAAAAAGATTAAGGTATTAAGAAGTGATAGAGGTAGTGAATATAAAGCACCATTTGCTGACATTTGTTCAGAATATGGTATTATTCACTAAACTATTGCTCCTTATTCACCTGAATGGAACGGTGTTGCTGAATGCAAAAATCGTACTTTAAAAGAAATGATGAATGCTATGTTGATAAGTTCTGGTTTAACCCAGAATTTGTAGGGGAAGCTTTGCTTTACGCAAAAGAAAACTAATGAGACACCATATGAATTATAGAAAGGTCAAAAACATTCCTATAAATTCTTTAAGTGTGGGAGTGTTTAACTAAGGTTGCAATTCCTACTCCTAAGAAAGTTAAAGTGGGACTTATATTGTGGCGACCTTGTGGGTGGGTGTGCCGTAGGCGGGTGCAAGAGGCACTCACATACTACCACACTGAGCGAGCTACAAGTGCACAGTCCCACATGCACTACCTACGTAAGGGAAAGGTGAAGTGATTTTATGAGGTGGTGTTATCTCCAATTGGTATGCGGCCGTTTGGGATAAAACCCAATAACAAAATCATGCGGGCTTCAATTATTGTATAATTTTCTTGTGCATAAATCATACAATAAAAATAAGGACGAGCTTAGACATAGCAAGAGGGCTAGAATGTCTAAATCTTTTGGTCTTGATTTTATAACATGTTTATTGGAGAATGATCCACAAAGCGTTAAGGAAGCAAAATCTTCTCTTGGATATTATTATTTCTTAGATTAATTATGTGATATAATCTTACAATATAGTTTATTTAATGTGATATATTATTAACTTTGTATACGAGTTCATGACTGGTTTGTGTGTTTAATACAACAGACAAAAATTGACTAGTCCAACTATGTCAATTCTCCCGATATGTAATATTTATGAATTTCGTCATTTTGCATTTTTCTAGAATTTTCTGTTTACGTAAGGGGCATTTTTGTCTTTTCTCATTTTGCGTGTCGGGCATTGTGGAGTGTGCCGGTAATGTTCGAGAGTTAGTTGGGGCATTTCATTGAGTTCAGGACTCTTTGAAATGCAAGGTTGGTCATTCTTACATTTTTCCCTTTTTTCGGGTCGGACGGTCCCATGTGGGACGCGCTACCGGAATTGTCGTGCACGGGGGGTTTTTGGTTGAGTCCAATTGCTTCACATTTATTTATTTAATGTGTTATGTGTGGTTATAAATTATTATATGTGTGTATGTATATAATTATGTGTGGAGGGAATTAAAGTTAAAAAAGAAAAGAAAAATTCAAAAGAGAAGTGGAGGGACCCACCACTTATCCTTATATGGTCAAGAGACCATTGTTGGTCTCAAATCTCTCTCTTTATCTCACACCCCCTATCTTCCTCTCCTCCCATTTTTCCTTTCTCTTTTTATTGCAATCTTCAAACCTTGATTTCTCTCAAACCGTTGAGAGATTTTTAATGTTGTTTGCGGCAAATTAAAGAGCACGACGAAATCTACGGTTTGATCGGAGCCAATCTTCATTTGGCCACCAATTTGGGGATCACAATTCTAGGGTTTGGAGTGTAAAATTGGGGCTTTTCATCAATTTGAGGTAGAGGTCCCTAATCCATGACTTCTTAGGCCTTAGTGAGTCTATTCCTTCATGATTTGTGATTTAACATGTTACATTTGTGTTGATCTCATTTCCTAAAATGAATTATGTGTCATATATGAATTAGATGCTATGTGTGTTAGATGACTTAAGTGGGAAAGCATGCTTATGTGAAATTTTCATGCCTAGTATGTATAAATTGTTGAAGTTTGAAGTAGGGAACCATGTTGAAATTGTGGAATGAAAAGTCCTTTCATTGACATATTATCGTAAAGCATGAGACATCTATGCATAGCATTGGGCATGAGATTAATTTTGATTTTAATGAAAAACAAATGGTTTTGGGAAAAAGTTTGTGAAAACCCGGACGCCTAGGAGGCGCCTAGTGGTCCGTGTTATTAATGTAATCTAGAGGGAA